GGAAAAAATAAACTAATTTTATTGAAAGACAAGTGAAAACCCTTTAAAATAAGGACTGCCCTGAATTATTTTGATGCAAGTTTTTTTTTTATTCTTGCAAATGGTTATTACTCACAAGATAATGATAAAAAACAGAATTTCTTTAATATCATTGCCTATATAAATTACTTCCATTTGTTTTAGTCTAATCATTTTTAAATACCAGTAAAAAGTTCATATTTACCTCTAAAATTCTGAATAATTAGGCAAATAATAAAATTCATATCAATACTCATTAATGTAAATGTCATTATTGTGATATTTTTTACACTTAACCAATTTTGACATAAGTTCTCATACAATAAAGAACACATTAACAAATTCAGTGTTTAATATATTCACTATAAAAAGGATTATTAATAAATTTGTTCATGTATCAAATTTGGTTATGGCCAACAAATAAAATGCTATTATATGTCCCAAATGTTTGGAATTCATCCACCACAAACATGTTAATTTGTTGTTATACAGTGAATAACAATCAGGCTGTCTAACATTAATTACAGGTTTAAAGCAGAATATAAACAATTTTTCTCATTGCCAAATATTTTAAATAGTGCAGGACATCAATTTCATTTGCACTGACAAATATGTTGTTATCTCTTATGAAGTTACAGACAAGTAGGAAAAAGAATTATATATTTGTAATGGACAAAAGTGAATGAAAATCTAAAAGCTAACAAAAACTAACTTTTAAGAAATCTGAATAAATTTCTATACTTTTAAAATACAAGCTAAAAATCAAACGAAATACTTTTCAGCATTAAGTACACTGTTAAATTCACTGATAATTTTGATATTATGTAAAATTAAAATTCTGAACTTTTTTTTATCATTAATGTATGAAAAACAAAGAAAAATAAGAAAATATAAATCTCTTTGAAATACTTGTTGTGTGCAAATGAAAGCATTCTATCTCCAAATTTAGTTATTTAATCTTTGTTTTACACACTTTGCTTAATCCAACTTTCTTCATCATTGGCAAAGTAAGACATTGTTCTTTAATTAACCACACTGATATGAATGATAATTTGGAGCAAATACATAATATATATCCATGCTTACTCTGCAGTATCATTAGTCACAAAAATAAAAGGATAACTAATTTTGGTAAAAACAGAAGTCTGCAATAAAAAACTGAAATTCCAAAAATATAGTAAAATTAAACTTTGAAAAATATTTATTTGTAAAAAATAGATTTGTAAAAGAATTAAACTTTAATTTCTACAATTAGTAAAATGTAAAGTTACTTTTTAAATATTTACAAATTTTAGAGTACAATTTATAAATTTTTTCTTCTCATAATGTAGCTTTTACAATGAAGGATCAATAAGTTAGCCTGTTAGAATTATTAGCGGAAATCTTTATCATATAATATCTGATTTATGTAATTCATGGAGAAGTGCTGGGTTAGTGCATTGACAAGGAAGGAAATTATAGCAAAAAACTTTTTTTTTGTCATCATTAGGCTCTAAACTTATTGCCTTGACAGGACAAAATAAAAGGTTATATGTCACTTTTTCCTATGAATGCTGCTTGATATTAGTTTTCAACATGCAGTGATGTGTAAATGAGGTACTGTATAAAAGGCAGTATTGCTATACCTACAGAAGAGTTGACAAAACTACATCTGTCAGAGACAATACCTATCATAACAATATGGCATTGCTCATCAGTTACTTAACCACAATGGAGGATCCAGAATATGTAGAAACCTGGCTTAGGTGTTTTGCAGTATCAGCATCATAAAAAAAGTTAAAAGAAACCAAAACTAATGGAGGAGAAAAAGTTACAGATTTGTTTTTGGCCTCAGCAGGGTGTGAGGCCATAAAAAAAATCTCAGTCATGGTCTGTCCCAAAGTATTGGAAGATTTAGCATCTGAAGAAATTGCTGCATCATAAAAGCAAATATACAACCAAAAAAAAAAGATTGGTCATAGCGGAAAGAACTAAATTTCTTGAAAGTAGACAGAGACCAGACAAAACTATTATGCAATATGTACAGCAATTGAAAGAAATGTCGAGATATTGTGAGTTTGAAAGAATGGGTTCAGAACAAATGTCTATTGAAGATGAACTAATTTTGCTAAGACTGATTGAAGGAATTTTCAAAAATTCCTAATACAAGCATAAAATTCTAGAGTAGCTTCAAGCTCATAATATGAATCTGGAAGTATGTGTGGAGTTCTTACAATTGGAATTGATTAAAAAATTTAATGTCTCTAAAGGCAGCATAGTAACTTACAGTGCTACTAAAAGCTTAATTGTATACAGATATTGCAATAAGGAACATGAATAGATCAAAAATAAGTGTTTGGCCTTTGGGAAAAGGTGTTTTAAGTGTCAAAAGAGGAATCATTTCCAGACAGTATGCAGATATGAAAAGTAAGTGGAAAAAGTGGAAAATATAGATCCACTGGGTGAAAGTATGGAAGTATTTGAGTTAAAAGCACAGGATAAAAGTAAGGAAATGGTGAAGTTGAACGGAGTAACTTTACTCATGCAGGTGGATAATGTAAGTGATGTTACCTTGATACCAAGGAATTTTTGAGAAAAAATGGGTAGACCAAAGTTAAAGAAAAGAAATCTCCAGTTGAAACAGTTTGATTGGTCAATCATCAAAATCTTAGGATGCTTGGTGTGTTTGAGACAAAAAACAGATTCAAGATAATATCTATCATAGTGGTGGAAAACATCAAAGCCACAGTCTTAGAGGAATTGACATGTTAAGAGTGGATACATCAAAGCTGATTAATTCCATGATGTCAGTCAAATCAGATGTTGGATTAGTAAGGGGATATGAGGCAAGTATTTGGCTTAAAGAAAGCAGTCAACCCATTTATTTTCTAGCTCAAAAAGTTCCTGTTCACATGCTACCCTTTGTGGTTACTACGCTGAACAAAATGGTGGAACAAGGAATATTAAAAAAAGCCAGCCGGGGTGGTAGCAATTGGGCTTCATCCATTGTGCCGATAAACAAGCACAATGGAGATTTAAGAATCTGTGGCATGAATCACCAGATCTGTTCAGATTCATTCCCATTACCAAACATTGAAATAGCATACCATGAGTTTGCTGGTATGAAATACTTTGCTAAAGTTGACCTTAAGTCAGCATATAATCAGATAAAAATTGATAACAAGTTTCAAAAAGTCACCACAATGAACACACCTATTGGATTAATAAGATGGACTCATCTTCTGTTTGGAGTAAAAACATCAAGTAACATTTTCCAAAAAGCCATTGAAAAAGTTTTAGAGGGGATTAAAAATATAATTGTATATCAGAACGACATTGGCACTGATGTGTACAGTAAAGAGTTCAAAAGTAAAATGGAGCAAGTTTTGAGAAAATTAAATAGCGCAGATATGACAATTAATCACAATAAGTGCAAGTTTAATTGTGAAAAAATTTGATACTTAGGAAATCAAATATCCAAAGATAGCATATTGCTGGATGATAGACTCATTAATAAGATATCGGAGATAGATGTGCCCAGAAATAAAAAGAGAGTTAAAATCTTTTTTAGGTTTAGCCAATTTCTATAACAGATATCTACCATGATATAGTGACCTTGTGGAACCATTTAATGAAATAAGGAAGAACAATACCAAGTTTTAATAGACAAAAAGACAGTATGTTCCTTTCAAGAAATTAAAAAAGGCACTCATAAACAAACTGGTTGTTAAAATTTTCACCCCATTGAAAGAACAGATGTTAACTACTGATGCCAGTGACAGTGCTAGAGTTGTAATATTGTCACAGAAGGATCACCATCTAATGTACTTACCCAGCTGAGGCAAATTATTTAAATATTGAGGAGGAGGCATTGGCAATTGTGTAGAGCATGAAAAGAGCTAGAAATCTTTTGCTGGGAAGGAAATTTCTATTCAAATCTGATCATAAGCCTTTGGAATTTATATTCAACCCCAGAAGAGAGTTGCCAAAGGTCACATCTGCCAGGATATTAAGATGGGTGATTAAACTTATAGTGTTCAACTTTGACATCATATATATTAAAGGAAATACTATTCCACATGTAGATGTATTATCTTGGTTAAATTTTGAGAGTAAAAATGTTGAAGCAAGTGAAAATTGTGAGGATAGGATTTTGAACTGGATAGAAACAGATGTATTATCCTTGATTTGGATTAGGTTAGGAACTAGGCAGGATCTAGTGTCAAATAGAATTATGAATAGAATAAAGAGAAATACAATTGCTCTATGGCTGAGAGGCTGTATAAAGAGTCAAGGCACAAATTAACAATAGAAAAAGGAATTATATGTAATGGAAATATCATAGTATCTCCACAGTCTCTGAAAAGACAAGTATTTAAAGCTGTGCATGATGATATACATGGAGGTATATTGACTACACAAATGAGGTTAAAGTTACAAGCATGGTGGCCAGGCTATTCAAGAGACATGGAAGAGTATGTTAAAAAATGCCCAAAGTAAAAAATGCATTCTTGGTCAAAGGAAATGGAGCCATGGACACAAGTACATATGGATTATACCTACATTAAACGTATAGGACTATTTCTGATATTAGTTGATCTGTATTCAGGTTGGCCTGAAGTTATTAAAATTGCAAATAGAAAAGCCACTACTGTGAAGTGGGTGTTGAGGATAATGTTTTCGAGAAATGGAGTTCCAACAATGCACCTGAGTTTTGTGAAGAAAGTTTATGTGCATGGTTAAAACATATTGGCTGCATTCTATACAAAACACCACCTTACCACCTACAGTCAAATGGAATTGTAGAGAGAATGGTTCACACAGTAAAAATGGGAATAAAAGTATTCTCTCTATACCTACAGGAGAGTTATCTTCTCTTATCAAGACAATATCTGTCAGAAAATACCTATCATAACACAACAATTTGCACTATCAGCAACATTAGACTGAGAAAACAATTTTGTCAGCCAAACTCAGTCAGCAATTCATTGGGTTGGACTTACCTGCATTGGCACTCTGATTTTTGATTTGATCTTCTCACCACTTTCTGTTTCTTCTTCAATGTCAATTTCATCCCATTTCTGAATCGGGGGAAAAATCATAAAGAATACAAAAATGATTTTTTTAAATCTTAACTCATGATAGATTAGGATCAGATGATATTAACTCGACAAGAACATCATATATAAGTTCTCAGTTTGACCAAGAAAAGACAAGAAAAACAAAAATTCTGATATTTGGTCGGATTTTCAGAAATGAGTCAAGCTGAGAACTTTTCAGCACCTCCTCTTATGTATCACAACACTTTTGTGATACTTGCTTTCAACTACCAAAACTCTGAAGGGCAGCACCATACTCTTGCATCCACCCAAAAATAATCTTTTGGAAAAATAAAATACTCCCAAAAGATTTGGGATACTACAACTATTGTTATATTTATAGTACTATTCAAATATATAGTTTTAAAAGTTATTACTACTATATTATATTCTAAGATGTTATTCAAATTATTTATTATAAAAATCATTCACTACAAATAATTTTAATCTATGTTTAATAATCTATCATAGTTACTGTCTAGTTTATTGGATTTGTACTATTTTACTAAAAGGAACATTTCTAATGTCACCAATTTAATATTTCATGTGGATAACTGACTCTATATTTAACTAAAAAAGCTTGATACAAGAATGTGCTAAAATGTTCTTGGCCCAAATCATTTCCTAAATCTGACCAGATTTTTAGGAGAGGGCTAATTGATTTCCAGCTGCACCCCCAACCAGTCTTGTAAAAACTAGCAGTCCCCATGTTTTATTATTAAAACATATAATCAATTCACTACATTAATAATATCAGAGACATGCATGGAAGAAAAAATTATTAATTTAGAAAATCAAGTTTAATATTCCAGCTGAGGCTATTTAAGTTTTCTTTATGCTAATTCCATTAGGAAAGGCATGACTCTACATCTCCTTGCATGCTGTTATATCAGTAGATTTCTTCATAAATGCTGTTGTTGGCATGAAACAAAGGTTGAAAAAGAAGTGATTAAATGAGCATTTGGACGAATCACTCTTCCATAACTAAATTACCTCCCAGACACTAACAATTAAAAAGCTGTTATCCTCATTGTCAACCTTGACAGGGATCCAATCACTCATGTTCCTAATGCAATCATATTTTTAGCAAAGAGTAACAAAGTTTTTAAAAAATAGCACAGTATAAAAACATATCAGCATCAGGAAAATCAGTTCAAAATGAAACCAGTATTAATACACACACACACATATATATATATATAATTTTCTTACATATGAAGACAATTCTTGAGATAAGGGTTAATTTTCATTTTTTTAGCAAAAATATTGGCACAGTCATTCTAACATAGACCATTGCTCACACTCTGAAATGTTACAAAAAACAGCAACAGTAATTAGTTTTAACTCAACTTTCTAATCTTATTTTAGAGCAACTACACATTATTAGTGTCCATCTTTAATGTCTGTGTTTACATTCTGAACCAATACTTGCAGGAACGAAGAGAAGAATAAATTCAAAATGCTAGATCATTTACCAAATGTTTTCAACAAAAAGGAAATTACACTTTACACTACATGATTCATTTCTGTATCCAAAATTGATGATTTGAAATCTATAATCACAACAAATGAACTCTAATGCATTTTTCACATTATTACTGTTAATCTAAGCCTCAGTTGTAATCAGATGAAATAACAAAATATGCTACAATTTTACACACATTTTATTTTGTCAGATTTCTTCACAGCTAGTGCCATAGCTGCTTTTAACTATTTTCTCAGCAGCAAGACTAGCAAGTAATAATGATAACATTTCACATTCTTAATCAGAAAAACTTATAAATTTAAAACATTTCAAATTGGCTGCATATACATGCAATTACATGATCAAACCCCTGGGGATAAACCATTCACTTAAATTTATGAGATCTTTTTAATTCCTAGTTTTTTGTTTTTTTTTTACAAAAAAATACCAAGACATTTTAGAAATAAAAACTACCAGTTTTATTTCCACTGAATAAAAAATAAAATAAAAAATATTTTAAAGTTCTCGGTTGTCAAAGTCAGTATAATAATGTATCAAAAACAAATTATAAGTTTTTTTTTTAAATTTTAGCAGGTGAAGCATAGCATTTTTTTCTTGATATGAACGATTATAAAGAATCAATGATTTACATTACCAGAAATTTCTTTTATTATGACTCATAAATTATTTTCTTGATTTCCCACATAGCAAATAAACCAGTCCCAATTCTCTACCATAGACATGTTCAGTAAAATTTAATTCTCTTTTTATTTATATCTACTGACAAATATTTAATTCATAATTTTGAAAACATTTTAGTAGGTAACAAAATAGACTAGTTGTAAAGTAAACAGTGATGCTGAATTGTATGGTTGTGGACTGAAGTAATACCAGGTATTATTTTAAATTTGTTCATATAAAAGTACTGTACAAATTTATATTTTTTTTCCACTTCTTGAACACTCCTCAGATAATAAAAAACCCAGTAAAATCCCATTAATTACACTTACCACCCCCACCAAAAAAAAAAAAAAAAAATCAATTAGAAAATGTTCTTAGAGAATGAGAAAAAGCCAAAACACTAGTAATTATTAAGTTTTAATGCCAACTTAGATGTTTTGGAGTTGTCAACTAGAAACTTTTTTCCCCCTTCTTGATTCATTCTGTTATTTGTTTTCTGTGAGGGCAGAGCATGCACTTAATAGTGAAGTGCCATGACAATAGTTGGGAAGCTCCTGTCAGGTGCATGCATCACACACGCACACAAGTTAACTAACAAGCAAACATTGGCAGCCAAATCACACAGCCCCAAGGCCATCAAGCCAGGCTTGTTGACAATCAGCAAGACACAATTAGAGGTAATTGCATAATAAAGAAAAAAATGAAAAGAGGAAATAGGCAAAGAAAACTGCTCTGGCAAGGAATATATAGTTGGCAATTTTGATTGACTTGGAGATTTATAAAGAAAGCTAGTTCCCGCCAAAAAATCACTTGCACACATACTAGGCATTAAAGATTTAAGTGTTTTTTGCAGCCAAAAAATTCTGAGTTAAACAAAGTTAAAAAGTTAAATTCTTGCTTTATCTGTAATGAAATATTATTAACAATTGTAGGATTTTTTAAAAGTTTTGAAGGTATGTGTTTAAAATAAGAAATCACTGAAAAATTTTTTGCTGTTATTAGCTTGACTATATTTCTAAAGGACTTACAGAAATTTTAAAGATAGAAATTAATTTCCCACACAAATACAGGAATAAGAAGTAAAATCAATTACATAGTCAAACAAATGATTTCATAAACAAAAATCAAGGTGTTATAAAGAGTACTTTCCTTTGTATTTTATCAGTCCAACGGTAGTTAATTATCTTGCATACCAAGAGCTGCTCTACCATTACTGCTTGGGCAATTATATAGTCTATGCCTTAGCTATGCTAATTATTTACATGAGGTCTTCATCCAAATGACAGTGCTAAAAAGTTCTCAGCCCAACCCACTTCCTAAAATCAGCATTTCAAGGACCAAGTATCAGAATACTGATTTCAGAAAGTATTTCTGTAGAAAAGCACACTTTGATAATGACAATATAAACTGATTTTTGTTGCATGCTTAAATGCAATCATCAGGATGTCCTGAAGATTACATTTAAACATGAAACACACTGTTGTACTTGTTGTTGACCTCTATTGTTCATTTACATATGCTCTATCACTAATATTGAGCACTTTAAACCATATATATAACATACATTAAATATATATATATATATATATTATACACACACATATACACTACATCAGATTTTATTATGCAAATCAATGTTTTCAAAGTTTTTAGTCAATACCTAATTTGGGTATTAACCAAACAATGCTGGTCAAATATTCAGGTTATATTTATGTAAACAATATATAACATAAGTTTTAGCTTATAATATCAACCCTTATTAAAGATATTAGGGGTGGAGAGTGTTATGTAAATGAAGTTCAACATAAATTTTTATTCATAAATAAATCTGAAAGTTATAAACTATATAGAAACTTCTCTGATTAATACAATACCCATCTACCTAAAAATAAATATCATTTTAGAGATTATTACGACATTCATTAATCCTTCATTCATTGATTTTAAGTTTTATACACATTTTAACTAGTCAGTTATGCAGAATGTGAATGAGCATTGACTTCAGAAATATAATCTTGCTTGTAATCTGTACCAATTAAAAAAATATCTTGTCCAAAAATTTACAATAGTTATCTACATTTATCTTGAATCCAAATCAAATTTTCAGATACCTATAATACCTGCCTATGATACTAGTCTCAGACATTACTCTATTTCCCTACCATCATCTTTTAACTTGTATTTGTTAACTACTGAAGGACCGCCACCCATATCCTTGGCATCAGGTCAATCCAATATAGTTCTAAATTCATCATTAAATTTTTTGAGGAATCAGTTTTCATGTATTTCTTCATTCAACTTACACATTTCTTAAATTTGGTAGTTTAGTTACTGCCATGTTTTTATCCAACATTCTATTCTTTATCTTTTTTCTTTCAGTTTCTTGTTGCAACATCAACCTCTTCAAATATCTTCTTATTTGCCAATCCATTTTTCTTATTTATTATCCTTTTCATTTTTCTCAAATCTCTTTTTTTTAATAACCACTTGTTTTTCTTTCTTGTTCTTATCTTGTCAATTTTTTCAATTTCTCTTTTGATTGTTCCATGATTTCCATTCAACTTTTTCACAATTGTCAACATTGTGTTACCATTACTCAATAACTTTACAATATCTTGTCTCTTTAAGGTTATATCTTTCTTATAACCATCTTTATATGTCTGAAATATATATATATATATATATATATATATATAGTTGGATTAATGTGAGTTTGTGACCCTGGCTTTCACGCTATTTGCAATCGTCAGACAAACTGATTAATTTTTAAATTTTGGATTTATATATGGTTAATTTTTAACAATTTTATTTTATAATCACAGTCAGCTTATTGTGCCAATGTTTTTAATTGATATTATTGAGTGTTGGCTTTTTCTTTTTATTAGCAGAGTTTTCTTTATATATATATAGATAGATAGATAGATAGATAGATAGATATAAAATGAAAGCTCTGCTAATAAAAAAAGAAAAAGCCAATACTCAATAATATCAATTAAAAACATTGGCACAATAAGCTGACTGTGATTATAAAATAAAACATTCATACAACTCTAGATGCATACAAAAAATCCATACATTCAGTTAAAAATATAAATCATCCTTGATAAGGGCTAAAAGAATAGCCAAGAATGCTGATATGCAGAACATTTGGAAAATTTTTACACACTTTATGTCCAGAAAAGAAAACACTTATAAGAACACAAGGAAAATAAAAAGCTTAATCACAGTATCTTGTCAGTTTTCTTTAATGAAAATTGTATAAAAGAGGGATTGCTGCCCAAATACACACACACATATTATATATATATATATATATATATATATATATATATATATATATATATATATATGTGAACAATGTTGAAGTTGAATGACAAAAATCCCACCACACCAAATAAGTTATTGTAAATATTTATGATAAAAAACATATATTAAGGTGAACTTTACAGGGTAAATTTATCATACAAATATCTGTATATTCTGAATATTTTACCAACATAATTTGATTGAAACCAATTTTAATGAGTAAACATTGACTTAATAAAATTTGAAATAGGATAGACAAATAACATGTGACCATTTGGCTGATGTGGGATATTGTACCATTTCATATTAGTGATGCCATTTGTTTAGCTCAAAAAGTACAAAATAAAAAGAAAAGTCTTTAAGATGAGCTTTTTCTCAAAACATGCATTCATGAAATAAAGGAGAAAATATATAGATGAATATGAATAAATGCAAGAAAGATGAGAAATGTAAAGAAAAACAAATTTAAAAAGTTAAAAATTGAAATGTACTTTTTGCATCCAATCATTTAAAATATTAAATTTTGCTCTCTCATTTACAGCAAAAACAAAATTAATCATCTATTAAAAAAAGCATTTCTTTTGCAATCATTGCATATATTTCTAAGTCAAAGTTACAGGCTGCAATCCAACACTACAAAATGCTACACAGAAAAAATACCACAGCAAACAAGTCAGCAAATATGCTTAAAAGCCCCACAAGGTTATGGGACCTAATTTGATCTGATTATTGAAGCATTATTGATTATTGCTTACACATATTGATTTAATACAGATACTTATATTATTTGGTGTAAGGATTCATCATCAGACAATTACTCAATAATCATTTCTAATAATTTCAACTTCCCAAGGGGTTGAAGGAGAAATGCAGAGCTCAAGAAAAAGTGAAAATAAATACAAGAATTAAACAACAGTCACTGAAATTAAATTATCTGATATTCAAATCATAACAATTTCATAAATTTGATCTTAATGCAGTTATTTTTCCCTGTTATTTTGAGACATTTTAAAAACTAGTTTTAATATGGCTGAGAGTCTGTTTCACAAATAGATTTTTTTTCATTACATCAGTAATTTGTTTGTTTACTTGTTTGTAACCATTTTTTTTTTTCAATTAAACTAAATTGTTTTTTCTTTGAGCCACAGTGGAACCAGCTCTCAGATTTTGCTTTTAATAGAGTACACTTAACCTCCGGGAGCTCAAAATTGAACATCTGTTGATGCACACAACTTTTTTATGTAAAGGCTATATGCACCCTAAAAAAAATTTGGAAGATTTTTATGTATGTTTTAGAAGTGTGTACCATTTAGATATAAGCAAGCAATAAAAATGTGGATTCATTGTCAAAAAAAAAAAAATCCCAGATAAATTCTTCCTTTATCTTGTTTTTTTTACCAATAATCTCTTAAAAGGTTTTTATATCCAATTAATTTGTGTAATCAATGCCTATATTGTCCTTCAAACAATCATTTTTGTATCTTTTTCAAATTTTTGTCTGCTAATATCAACATATTAAAATCCATGTTCAGTAAAAGATAAAAATGACATCAAAAGTTACTTTCAAGGAAGCAAAGGGATTTTTTTAAATATCCAAATTTTTGCATAAAAAGGCTCTTTTATATATACAATGATTTCATATTAATTTTTTCACAGCTATGTTATTTATTTTAACAACTGCAGTGTGTGGAATAGGTAATTCTACCTTTACTATTTAATAATTCAGTTCTGATACATAGCTATCTATCTTTCATATTTATAAGTCTACCATTTGTCCGTGCTTTGAATATTCCTGCCACATGGTCTGGTACTCCTACTATATATATTTAGAGATTCTTGATAAAATCCAAAGAAGAATCTGCAATGTTATTGGTCCTGTCCTGTCATCTCACCTTCATTCACTTTCCCACCACCATAATGTAGCTCCCCTGTGGTACCTTTTCTATAAATACTTTCATGGGAATTGTTCTGGTGAACTTTCCTCTTTGGTACCTAGGCTTTATGAATTTAAGCAGAGTATTAGATTGGCAATAAGGTCTCATCATTTTACAATTGAAATGGCTGCTAGATGTAACCATAAATTCTATGCTAATTATTTATTCTCACTTGTGGAACTTTCTTTCGGCTTCTTGCTTCCCAGTCAACTTTGATCTTCAAAAAATTTAAATGCAATGTCAATTGTTATCTATTGTCTTCTTAATTTTTGTTCTTTTAATGTTCTCTCTCTTTAATAGTGTTTTTCTTAATATTCTCTAACACATGGGAAACTCTTATGTCTTAGTGGCTTTATTGCCTCACTTAGGTGAAATGATTAACTATATTGTAGGCAGAGAGATAAATTTTCATTATCCTAATATTTCAGTCTTTTCTGAATTTAAAAATGTGTATGGGTTAATTATTTTATTTTTTATATATTCTGTTAATTGGAAATATTTACAATACCTGAATAAAGGATTCAATTAAATATACCAATAAGAATTAAAATTGTCTGCAGACATCCAAGAAACTATTTAGCATCAAGCACCATTTTTCTTTCACAGTACCAAATAGTCTTGTGTCAAACTTCAGTTAAGATTAGTAAATAAATATACAGCTAATTTAATAGAAACTGAGACTTTCTAAGATGTTTGGTAAATTAGAATTAAAATTAAGAATAAAATTAAGAAAAAATCAACTTACAGTTAAGGAAGATATGATGTGGGAGCCTTCTTGATTCAAAATAGCTTGTCTAATTTGTGTGATAATCATGGATGATGTATAATTGGTCCAGATTCTAGAAAAGAAAAAAAAAAAGATCAAAAACTGATTTTACTCATCAACATAAAATTTATTACAGTATATGATGAAGTGGTGATGTAATATGGGTGGAGCATCCAGGACAGTTGCCCAAGGCACAAAATTTCAAAAAGGAAAAAAATAAATTAGTAATAGTAGATAAGAAAATAGCAGACACTCCCCCTCACTCAGTACTCCAGTAAATGTAAACGGTTATCCAATTAACCCACCTTCAAGGTTTTCATTAAATATGCAAGCTTAAAGGTGGAAACTGCAAAGTAGAGGATGGTATCATGTCACTGATCTTTAGGTGAAATTTGAACTTTGTCAGGTTTTGAAAAACGGCATGACGTGGAAAATAGCAGGTAATTGCTCTTAATGAAACATCATTTGGTCAATTTTTTTGTTTTGACTTAATATTGAAAAAGTTATTTTTTTACTTTTTTTGTTCTGATTGTTTTGATGATACAGTAGCCATTTTAACTATATATATATATATATATATATATATATATATATATATATATATAAATAAAAAGTTAATGGTCAGAGTTGTATCAGACCCGGAAACAGTGGTATTAAAAAGTGCTCAATACATGTGAGAAAAAAAAATTAAATTAAAGTAAAATTAACATGTAGAGCTTTTAACTTTAAAAATCATGAGATCAGTTGAACCCACTACCTTGTTTCAAATTTATGGTATCCTCAGATGATTTTTATCAAATGACCTCTTAACACTTTATTTTTTTGAAAAACTAATGAATGCTATATTATTAAAAAAAAAAAAATAAACAAATGCACAATGTTGGATGTAATAGAAAGGCAGAAGGAGGATGTGAAAAAGGGAGAAGAAAGGGGAAAGAGAAGAAAAGCAAGGGTATTATAAAAGAGTCAGTGAGGGGTTAATTAAAATATACATTAATTTTTTTTATCTACCCTCATATGTGCATTTCAGAATATATATATATATATATATATATATATATATATATATATATATATTATGAAATGCTAAACATGCCAAATAAAAAAAAAACAGGTATAGGAAGAGGAGGGGGAATAGAGTAAGAAGAACATGCTAAGTTAGCTAGAAGCCTTGACAGATTTCTTGTAAACACTGCTGTAAGTGCACCAGCAGTACTAGAGGAGCATCACAAGCCTGATCAAATATCTGTGGACATTTCTGTTATTGCTTTAGGAGGAGAGACAGCTTTGCCAGAGGATGCTTCTACTTCTGCTCAGTGAAATATTCTGCCAAAGAGTATTGACCTAAAAGTTTTCACCAATATTGGACATTGGCCTGAAACTATGAATGAAACTTTAAAAACTGAACATGTTGAGAGAAGGACAGTTAAAAAGAGAATAAAAATGCATTGTTTCTAAAAGAAAGTAATGGCAAATTATTTTCAGCAGATTGGCTTTGGACAATGGTGAAACTATGTTAAGGACATTATTGGTGTTTTCTTCTATACATTTGCTGCATATTGTTGTCCTTGCATGCTTTTTCAGAAGGTCAAAGGTTAAAGTACTCTTGGAAAGCCAAGTGGATCCAAGCTTAACCCCAGGTTACTAGAGCATGAGCACAGTTCATATCACTTCAGTGCATTTACAATATGGGAAGAATCTGAAGTGTGGCTACAAAAATAAGAGATAATTGATGTTGTTGCTCAGCTTATACAACAGATGTCATTCGAGAGATGGAAGGCAATCTTAGCCAGAATACTTTTGTGTGCTTACCCTAACAAGATCAATAAGAAGATCTAAGCACAGAAAAAATCTTCAAGAAACATTTAAGTTGCTTGCCAAATATGACCGAATTGCTAATTAGCATCTTTACAAAGTTCAGCAGAAAAATGGATATGTTGTGTCCTGGCTCTCTCTGTAGAACTAGAATGAGTGATAACATCAGAACAATCATCATTCAAAAAGTCAGGAAAGCCAAGTATTTTGTTACTATGTTTAACAGTATTTTAGATATTTCTCAAGCTGACTAAATGTCCAAAGTAATTCAATCTCTGCACAGAAGTCAGCATGGTAGAGTCTTTCACTGTCTATATTCAATTACATGTGAAATCAGCTGATGTCATTACAAAACTGATTTGTGCATCTGATTTGCAAGCTGATGAACATATAAGCTGAAGCACTGCTACAGCCAAGGATACAACAATGTTGCAACTATGGCCATTATTGGGGGTGGTGTAGAGAAACATATTTGTGATATGAATCCCAAAGAAGTGTGTAACAATCACTCACCCTTGTTGGTGTGTATGCAGTTGGTTTTGGGACACAGTCTGTGACTTTCTTTGGTAATAGGAAAAAGGTGTATAGATTCTTAAGCTCCACACTGAGGTGGGATGTTCTTAAGGGACATGTCCCAATTCAAATAAAGTAATCATTTTTTTTTGTTTTTTTCTTACAATAATGTTAATCCTATACAAAACTCCAGAGCCACTCAAGGTAGAGAGTTACAGAGTAAGAGGTACAATTTATGGAGATATGCGGGGACTTGAACAGGTTAAGATTGTAGTGGGGAAACATACTCTAGGGAGTTGTTTCCACAAAGCAGCAGGTCAATTGAAAAAGCTGTTCAAGTGGAACTTAAATCTCACCACAGGAATACAAAGAGATTGAAGCTGGTTCACTACAATGTGCATGGCATGGTGGGTCTTTGTCATGAAGGTTACAAGTGGTGGAACTAAGGAATGTAGTTCATCTGAACACTTTCCATGGAAATAGCAATAGAGCAGCAAGAGGTTTGCAATATTTCATCTATGGGAAAGGGGTTGTAGGATGGAAAAATATTTCATCACCTACAATGAGATGGAAATGATTTTGGACTCTATCAAGACTGAAAAATGAAGACTTGGCAGCTCCTGCTCACATATGGCTCCTGTAATGGTAGAGGATAGCAGGAGATGTCAGGTATTTACTGGAATGCTACAGGGAACATACCATTTTTCCAGCATCTTTAGTGATGGATCATATGTACATGTTCCACTTAAGATCTTAAGTCCCAATAGGTGCTCAAGGCATGGGGCCTCCTTGAGAGAATATGTGTTCATTGCAAGACAAAAATTCAGGGTCCACTTGGAGATAATGGAACATCACTAGTTTGGTTTTCGAGGCACTGAATATGCCCAGCCAGTTTTCCCCCCACTGAGCTGTTAGGTCAAAAGAGAAATTTTGACCATCTAGAATTTTGGAGGTGAACCCATATACTATTGTATCATCAGCATATATATTCACAAATAATCAGAGTATACACTTTGGCACATCATTTATGTAAAGTAGAAAGTAGGTTGGACCAAGAAATAAGCCTGTATTGACCACTTGGGCTTCAGAGGACTGGCTGTTAATCACCTTCAGTGACCTACCCATTAAGAAGGACTTGATAAATAAGAAGACTCTTCCAGGGAATGGTCATTGTGAACAATAGAATTGAATTATCTGCAAGCATGTTATACTGGCCTTGGCTTCAAGAAATCTATGAAAATCTCAGTGGGAAATCATTCTACCCACACTACAGTACAGATCTCTATTCTGTAGTGTGATGAATACTACACTCCATGAAAGAATATTTTCTTATCAACACCAGTCACCAAGTGGTTATTCCTTGCCTACTTGACTAGCAGCCCTTGGTCTGGTTCTCTTACATCATAAGGTCCATGCTAATAAGTACAAACCTTTAGTTGATGACATTCAGCTGTTAGAAGACAATCTCCAATATGCCCATGTAAGATTTAATGACAGACATGAGTCTACAATATGTGTGCATGATTTGGCTCCAGTTGGAAACAAATACAATAGGGGAGAACAAAAAAAAAAGAAGAGAACAAGATATTCTTGTGGAAAAGAACACTACAGAAGTTGAGGAACCAGAGTTTGATATACATTCTAAACCACTGAGTAACCCTGAAATATATTTGCCGGTGTTCTCCAACTCTGAGGATCATCATTGTACTCTGATCCCTGAAGATTCAGTGATGATAATATGATCTTCAAGGAATCAAAGAAAACCATTACAATATCCAGAACATTAAAAAAAATTATTTAAAAAAAAATGGAGGGAGAGAATGTCCTAAGCATTAACTTCCCTCAATTTGAAATTTTCTAGAATTATCCAACTTTTGCTGTACTATATACAGGGTGCGATGGGTAAATTGTCGCCAATTTATATTTTTAATTTTGCACATGCATATTGTTTGGTTTTGATTTTGTCGACTGCACAGTATAGTAGGGTCAGTTGGGCACCGTCTGTGAGAAAAAGAGCATCATGATGCAGTCCACACCACTAGAAATTTGAAAATGGTATGCTATACTGCTTGGCATTTGTGTCAGAAGCTCCAATATTAACATTTCAATGGGTTTAGGTGTCAATCTGAGAACAGTGCAGATGATTCAGAAAGAGTTGGATGAGTCTAATGGTGATTATGAAGGAGTTTGGAGTGATCACTAGTGATGACAATGTTATGCCTCCATTCATCTTTCACAGGGCCTCAAACTCAACACTGAGGCCTACATCAAGTACCTTGAGGAGGTAGTGCTGCCCTGGGTCAAGAGGGTGGCTGCTGGAAGACCTTATGTCTGGCAACATGACTCTGCACCATACCACACAAGCAGGAGAACCCAGACATGGCTGTCAGACAATTTCTGCTACTACATCACCTCTTACATCTGGCCACCTAACTACCCAGACTGTAACCCCCTTGATTATTATGTGTAGTGCGCAGTTGAGCAAAAGAGCAACAAAACTCTTCATAACACCAAAGAAGAACTGAAGGCAAGGATTATGGCAGTATTCACCAAATTAAGCAAGGAGACCATACAGAAAAGTTGCAGGAGATTCCAAAGTTGGCTGAAGCAAATGGCAATTTTATTGAATAAATTTACTCTTTGGTATTTCTAAATATTTTTGTGTAATTTTGGTAAATATATTTGTTAAAATGAGATGTCAGTGTTATTTTCATTTTTGTGTAATTTATAAGACAATTTATCCATTACACCCTTTATCACACTTTATATATCCTCTTTTATTTGTATTCTTTGTATTTTTATTTGCTCTTAGACCCATCATGGATACTCTGTTTATTAAAGCTTTCATCAAGGTACTTCTTCAGTTCTGTTCCTTATTACAATACCATCATGATCTACTGTGATCAAACAATTCTATTGAAGATATTACAGTATGTAATGCCAAACCAAAGCATCCAAGCCAAATTAAAGGCAGTAAAGTTATAAGTTTAAGTGTATGTATGCTAGCTGTATGAGTGCTACCAAGAATAACTACCATAAATATTGTGATCACAACTTCTGATTGATGAAAGAGGTGTCCAAATAGCTGAATTTATATATGTCTTATAATTTGGCAACATATTTTCTTTCTAGAATGTTTTATTAAGTTTGATAAACCAGAATTTCCTCCCATGATTTTTGACTGATACACAAAGATCATAATCAGATGATAGAAAATTCTCCTAAAAGATTGAGACTTTTCAACAGTCTCTACTGCCGTCATCAGGACAAAAGATGATGGAACAAAATGTGGCATTTATTTTTTTATTCATTAGACTCACTTACTCTTATGAACTCTTTTTTTTATAAACAAACCTTGCAACAATAACAATACATATCTACTCTAAATTTCTTTAACCACTACATATATCTTAATGATGGCCATAGAATTTGTTGAAAGCATTCCACCTTTGAATGAACTCTTCTAGAATAAACAAAAACTAAATAAATACTTGTGACTTGGAGAACAACATCATTATTGTCTTGACTGCCTTAGAGTATGGCAGGTAGTACTGAATATGGAATTGGCAGAGCAATTTAGTGTGAAATTAAATATTCAAACAAATTCACCACTTATTCCACTCCTCAACAAAAAATGAAAATATTAAACAAAACATACGAACACTGTCTTGGTCAGTTAGTGAACTGGCTTAGCTGAATCTATTCGGATTTATGCCAGAGAAATGGTAATCATTTGTGACAGGCAGCTAAAAGAAGTTGATCGAAATATTTGCTCACTTAGTATGTATTTTAATAAAGCAAATATCAGCCTAAGTTTAGGAAGTAAAGAAAAAACAAAAGAAAAAGGCTATTGTATGTATGCTAAGTAAAACTAGTGAAAAGTGTCATGCCTGCCAAAACACTTAAAAACCAACCAAGTATTTTTTTCTTTTCCATTTTTGCAACTGTGTAGAAAGACATCTACATATAAATTACAATTCATTTTGTTCATGCATATGCAATTGAAAAGGGTAAATTAAATCCATTATATACAAATACATGGAACTGATTCTGTGAGTGAAAAGGTGTCAAGTGACTTTCAACTAAAATAAGTTTTATGCTCAGAATATGTCTAATTCTATGACAAACAAATCTTAACTCCTTTTGGTCCTCATTTGAAACAGTTTCAGGCATACAATTACAAGAATATTTCCTTATAGTAGTTTATAACATAAAAAATGTTTATTTTGTATTTTAATGCTAGATTCCATCTTCTATGATTTCAGAAATCATTTATTACATTCAACTTAATTGCTGGAAATATGTAATAAGAATTTTCTTTTATTAAAAATAGAAGCCACTGAAGAACTTTCAGTCATATGTTATTTTTTCTAAATTTCCATATATTTGTCAAAGGAAGAAAATATTTGAATGTAAAAAATAGTGAAACCTTTAAGAAATTTTGGCTAGGAAAAAAAGAATTGATGGAAGACTTCTTTAAAAAAGAAAAAAAGTAAAGATAATGACAATGTCCTGATGTCACAAGTCCCATAACTCATTATGCTCATAGGGGCACAGCTCATACTGTAACCATAGTAACAGTGGTGTGTCTGGGACAAGATAGCCTGATAGAGCCAATCCTTCTTCAGGCTGGTTTTGGATTCAGAGTTTTCCTTCTCTTAGACTGGTTGTCACTCCAATGCAAAAGAACCCAGTCAGCCTTGCTATTTAACCTATAGCTGAAGAGAGAAGAGATGAATTCATACCTCTTCCAATGACATGAACTCAAATGGAATTTGAACTTTACCAAATTCTCTTTCTGAGTTGCTAACAGATATACTACTCACAATGAAAATTGGTTGGCTGCCACAGACACAAAACCCCCACTTTAGTAATATGGCAACTTTAGACAACATCAAACTCACCCATATGAATCCAAATGACACTGAGAAAGAGAAGCTTGAACATTTTCCCAAAGAGAATCAGATGTGGCTTTTTTGCTTTTATATCCTGAAGATCTGCAAAAGAAATGACACTTTATGTTGCACTCAAATATTTGACATTATACAAAATGGTAATATCTTTGTCCCATAATAGATGTTATATTTTCATATATATATATTTCATATGTTAGATTTTATTATGCAAGTAAGCATTTTCAGAAAAAAAATTGGTAAATTTTCAGGTTATATGTATATTTATGTGATAAATATAATTTGCTAGTTTCAGCTTATATCTCTTTTCATGAGAAATATTTATAATAACTTATTTGGGTGTATGAGATTTTATTATGCAACTATAATGTTGTTCATAGTGTCCAAAGAAAGAAAAATAAGATATTGTAAAGTTATTGAGCAATGAGAACTCAGTATGGGAAATTGAAAGAAAATTGTACAAAGATAAAAAAACAATAAAAAAAAATTGAAAATTGGCTTTAAGAATGCCACAAAAAGATTTGAGTAAAATGAAATGGGTAATAAACATGGAAAAGACTAGCAGGAAACTATTTGTAAAAGTTGTGTTGCAAAAGTATACAAAGAAAAAAAGAGGCAAAATATTAAGAATATTGGTTAAATGAATGCAGCTAAACTACAACCTTTAAGTTAATCTCCGAAAGAGAAATGTATAAATGGTTAAAGTAAAGGAAACTGATTTCTCAGTAGTAATTTTTAGTGTTGAATTTAGAGCTACATTGGATGAACCTAATGGCTAGGAGATGTCTCTTTCATAGAAACAGTTACACAAAATGACTCAAGTGAGAATAGAATGGAGATGGAGTATCTATAGTATTGTATGCAATAAAATCAGAGATCCCTCCAAAGTTGATGGTGGTTCAAGATAAATGTAGACAGTTATTTTAAGTTATTGGACAAGACTTTTTTAAGTGGTATAGATTACAACCAAGAAGCTTTATGCCAAAAAATATATTCAAAGAAGACAATGCTTTATCACATTCTGAAAAACAGACTACTTTCTACTTTGCCAAAAAAAGGTTTAAAGACAATTAATGGAATGACTCCCAGATTCAACAGATAGTAACCCATCATAAAATGATATGTATATAAAAACATAAAACAATATTCAAAGAACATCTCTGGAAAAAATAAAAACAATTGCCTGTACAATTTGAAACAGTAGAAAAGTTCATAAAATCAACTAAAGAAAGACTAATAAAGTTTAGCAAAATTTCAACAAGACCATATTAACGTGTAAAATAATAATTTTACTCGATATTTATATTTATATGGCCTATATCCTTTAATTTAATAAAAGGAATTTATGTTGCATAATAAAACCTGACACCCTAAAACAAATTATTGCCAATATTCATAATTAGGCAATATTAGCTGAAACTCACACAGTTTATTGCTCATTTTAATATATGTATATACTGAAAAGCTTACCAACATCAGTTGGTTAATAGCAAATTTATTGTGAAAACACTGACTTGCATTCTAAAATCTTAATTTGTAAATATGACAATTATTATCCACCCAAAGTTGCAGTATTCATAAAAATAATGAAAATTTAAATATTATCAAATACACTTGCATTTTTGAATTTTCAGTTATTTTGGCTTTATTATTGAATTTATTTTTTTGCATCTGCTACGGAAAAATTATAATTAGAAAAGAAAATACTAATATTACAAAGTAACAGACAATATTATTTAATAACAATGTTACTGGCAATTCTAATAAGATTTCCTCTGGTGTTAACAATAGATGGAGAAAATTAAATGTTGTTCTTTTATTTAAAATCAGACGGCATTAATGCATTCTTACTTTGACCATTCTTCCCAGTAAAAATGGAGGCTTTTCAACTCAGAGTTGGAAGTAATTCAGTTGACTATAGCCATTTGCATACTTACTTTATGCCCTTCTCTTTGTTGTCCATTCCCACAATGCACTTGTGCAAATGTGGACAAAGATCAGTGACTGCTAAGCAAAAGCGACCAACCAAAATTACTCTACAAAGAAAATAAGGACATTTTTATCCATTACATTTTAGACAATTGTTGGTATTTTGAAATAGTAACTTTTGATTAGTTTATATTTTTATTTCAATGAATAATTTGTTTGAAAACATTATATATTACTGAAAATATTAAAGTTAAAATTTATTTTAACTCCCATGCTAAAAAATCTTTAGTTAAACTAGAAAAATTGTATTAGTCTTGCATTAAAAAATTAACTATACCTCATATGTAAAGTATTCAGAACACTATTCAATAAGGATAGGATTTAATTTTGATATTTATATAAAAATTTTAAGTTGAAATCATGTTCTCATTGAATAATATAAATTACTAAATTTTCATAGCTTGCATGTTGTATTCATTAAAAGTATAGGATAAGTTCCACCAATGAATACAATATTTTGTTTTTGTTTACATAACATTTTAGAACATTAACTGGAATGAGAAAATGTACAGATCAGTTTAGAAAACCTGACCAAAGAATAAGAACATAAACTGAAACATTTAAATCAATCTATTCTCTAATTACAATCAGTTTAACCTTATGGCACTGAATTTAAGATGACATTACAAATATCAGATGAAAGGGTTCATAAAAGGAAAGGCAACAAAAGAAGAATTCTCTTAGCTTTTGTATGCATCTTCACTAATTATTGCTTAGTGCTGTACAACTCTTTCAGATTCAGAAATAACCAAAATGTCCTAACATAATTTCATGTCAAAGAATTACTCAGTATAGATTTGGTCCTCAAGGGAATTAACACAAGATTCGTGGAGATTCTTGAGAGTGAGTGTGTGTAAAACAATCATAAAAAATATTCTTACTTGTTTATCGTAATTTCATTTGTGGTTTTGTCTTGTATTTCCTCAAGGGACTTTTTCCAGAGTTTCATCTGTTCAGTGACATAGTCTAATATTCTGTATGAAATAAATGTAAAAATAAATTATGAAAAAAAGTACAAAACTTGAAATATAACTTTTCCTTAAATCTCCACCTGCTTTAAAAGAAACCCATAGAAAAATTTAAAAAAAATAAAAATTTTTTTTTTTCAAGTAACTATTTACATTCAAACAAGGTTTTCAATATCAAACTAAATAAGTAGAAATTATTCCCCCAAAATTTCTGATCTTCAACAGAAGTTAATTAGAGAAATAACTAACTATATACATGAAATGACATATACACCCACATACAATTAAATTCAATAATTAGGGGAAAAAAAAAAAAGAGAATGTGTTTACTCACTGAGTGACACAATTTTCACTGGATTTCTTGACATGAGCTTCAATTTCAGGGCAATCAGCCAGTTGATCAAAGGGGCTGTGTTGTTGTGAAGTGAGAGTAACATTTTCCTCAGTGGTCAGATATGGCTCTATGTCCTCAAGCATTGATTTCAATTTATCATTAAATGTCTTACAGAGACTGAAAAATGAAATATTTCATTACAGTGTGGAAAAAAGAAGTATCTGAACACTTTTTTATTTATTTAGCATACCTTCAATACTTCAATTTATACATGTGATATATTTCAATGTACAATTAATAATTACTAAGAAGAAAATGCATATTTGTAAACATATTTCTGCACTTGTATGGAATCTTTCAGCATTTCACAAGTGTATGAGGGCATCATCTCCATCACTCACTACTTCACCTTAAGCTGCTGTGGTTAAAGTACATGAGCACTAAATCAAACAAAACAATGATGTAATTAAGTAACACAGTGAAGGTGAAAGCTACAGAGCTATTACCTAGAGGTTAAATATCCCTGTCAGTAGCACTGAATCGATTATTCTGAAGTGAAAGAAGTTTGGCACCACAAGAGAAAAAAAAACTTAAACTGTCCCTCCACTGAAAATTTTTTTCAGGATCGACAGAAAAATTACTAAGCAGAGTTAATGTGAATCCTACAAAAACTTAAAAGGAGATTCAAGATGATTTAGGAGCAGTTGAAACATCAGTTAGTAAAAGTAATAAACTGCAGAGAAACTCCATGCCCTACAAAAATCATCTTTGTTGAAATAATTATTTTACATAAAACATTCTTTCACCAGCTGTTATGGTTACAAGGCCCAAGCATTTGCATTTTTCAAAGAGCCCAAACTAGAAATATTAAGTAAACATCAGAGTAAGAAATGTGTATAGTAGGTAAAGAAATCATACTTATTATAAAACCCAGGTTGTGTGTGTGTGTGTGTGTGTGTCTGTGCGTTTATATATTGGATCGGATTTCCTACATTTTTCAACCGATTTCAACAAAACTTCACAGGACTACGTAAAATTACCTTGCAGTGGTTCTGACAGCACCAAAAATTAGAAAAACACAATTGTTTTTGCACGAAATCAATTTGAAAACACAATTAAGAGGCATCGCTATTGCAAGAATGAAAGGGGGACAACTCATATCGAGGTATACTTATTATAAAACCCAGGTTGTGTGTGTGTGTGTGTGTGTGTGTGTGTGTTCATTTATATATGGGATCGGATTTCCTACATTTTTCAACCGATTTCAACAAAACTTCACTTTTTTTTTTGGCAGGTAGTGTTTCTTATTGTCTTTAAAACTTTTTTCTTTATTTTTACATTCAGAATGCTTTAAAAATTCCATTTACAAGACAATTGTTTATAATAAAATTCCATTCAATCGATAGACTCATAACAATTGAAAACAATGCTTTTGTTTGAGTTTGGGTTTGACCAATTCGTAAAAAAAAAAAAACTAATTAAGACATGCATGTCCGTCAACCTTAAACAATAATCTTTGTCAATTTTATTTTTCAGTCTTTATGATGGTCAATACTTGATCTATCTCTTACTGTTACATCCCCTGGCAACGCCAGGCTCTACTGCTAGTATTATATGAAAAAAAGTTCTCAACAGAAATGTTTAGCAATGCATTTAGAGCTACAATGGATGGACCTAATGGCTAGGAGTTGTCATTTTCATAGAAACAGTTATACAACATGACTCAAAAGAGAACAGAATGGAGGTGGAGTTTGAGATTAGTATTGTAGGCAATAACATTAGAGATCCCTTCAAAGTTGATAATGGTAGATAATGTAGACAGTTATATTAAGTTATTGGACAAGACTTTTTTAAGTGGTATATTAAGAAGCTTTATGCCAAAGAGTATATTCAAGGAAGACAATGCTTTATCACATTCTGCAAAACAAACTATTTCCCACTTTGCCAAAAAAGGATTCAAAGACAATAAATTAATGGAATGACTCCCAGATTCAACAGATAGTAATCCAACATAACATCTGGAAAACAATAAAAACAATTGCCTGTACAATTTAAAACAGTAGAAAAGTTCATAAAATCAATTAAAGAAAGACTAATGAAGTTTAGAAAAATCTCAACAAGACCATATTAACATGTAAACTAATAATTTTACTCAATATTGTGTTAATCAAGTATATTTATATTGCCTATATCCTTTAAAAAAAATTATGTTGCATAATAAGACTTGACATCCCAAAACATGTTATTGTCAATATTTATAGTTAAAATAGATATTATAAGCTGAAAATCTTAGAGATTTATAGTTAATGCACATCTTGATAAGGTTACCAATGTCATCTGGTTAATACCAAGTTTATTGTGAAAACATTGACCTACATTATGAAATAGGACAGTCCTCTGTGGGGGAGGAACTGGTTTGTAACATTCAATATCTCCAAAACCAAACAAGTAATGTTTCATCATCACAGCACAGATTGTGTTTTCACCAGTTATGATGGACAGTTGTACTCTAATGAGACTCCTTGCCTTGAATGTGTATTGGGACTCAATCTCACTCCAAATATCAAATGAAACTCATATATATGATACATCACTAAGGAGGCTGGAAAATGGGCAGCTCCATGTACCACATGTACCACACCAGAAAAGTATCTGGCTACATGTTCCATCTTTACAAGTGCCAGATCAGATCTAAAATGGAGTATCAGTGCTACATCTGGGTTTGAGCAGTCCAATACTTACATTGCAGCCTTGACCAAATATTTGCACAGCCTTGTGGGTGATAAATTATTTTTCTACCTTAACACCTCTTTACCACAGATGGATCATTTTTAGCCTCTCACTACTCTATCATTATTTTCATGGCAGATATTCTGACAAGTTACATTCCTTGATTCCACCAGCCCAGATCTTTACAGCTAGGACCTGCCATGCCATGTACACAGAGGTGATTCATCCTCATTCTTTTCATATTCTATCAGTGAGGAAGAAGTTCCACTCAGACAGTTTCTTCCCCAGAATATTTGCATTGATGCTTCCCTGATCACTACAATCTTGGCCTTTTCAAGTTGAGGGTGAACCATTATCAATCTTACATGTCCTCATAATATTAGGTATCCCAAACTAACTTTTTTTTCAATATATCTAAAAACTTTTAATACAGGCATAAAGAAATTGACAACATAAAAATGGTACCAACTTCATCTTGGTCGCTCAATTAGCAACAAAGTCATAACCATTCAAAATTTGTCAGTTTTCCATCTCATGCTATTGGGCCAGAAGCTAATTTCAACAGTTTATAACTGAAGATGAAGTCTTCAGGCTAGTTAAAAATCATTATAAATGTAATGACATATAGGTAGTCTTGAAGTAAAAGAAAGATAATGCTAATGGAATCAATAATTCTTAGATCAGACCAGCCTAAACATGTGGAAAGTTTCATTCTCAAAAATAAAATCATAAAAATATGACAGAGAAGTGTCAATTTGATTGGTCATATAAATTTCATTTCAATAGTTAATTCCTTACAACTTCTTCTCCTTCAAAGTACAACAGAGATGAAGGTAATTCTTTTTTTTCAGCAGTACACCAATAAGAAACTCATATTTCCAACACATAAAAACAGCTACAATTTGATAGCAAGGCAAATGTATACCATCTTGAACTTGCCATAAAAAAATATCTATTGGAGGTACATGCTTGAACTTTGAAACATTAATAATTTTGGATGAGAAATTCAATAAAACAGTTCTTTTTTCTCTAATATGAAAGCCTTTTCCCATACATGTATCTACTTTTGGAATATTTTGTGAAATTATGCAATTTTTAACTTGTCGAAAAGGGACAGCAATGACAACAAAACTTAGAAATTTGTTTCATCTATTTTCAAACTAAAAACACTGACATGAATAAAAATACATTTATTGGAACTGATGAAAAAGATTTGTGGACAATCAGAATGGTCCTCCTGCATTTCTTCTTCTAATGGTGATTTGCTGCCTGAATTTGTTTATTAGCCTCTGCTATAGTCAATATTCCTGGAACACTCCATATCCTATCATCTCTTGAAAGTGGTATTATATCAAAGTCCCATTTAAAGACAAATGTTGAAGCCACTTGTGCAATATCATCCAACAAAGGCCATCAAAAAAGTCTACCTTGTAAATGTAATATCAATGACTTGGTCAATGTAAAAGTTAGAGTAATAGTATATGACAGCCTATTGGCCTCGGTGCTTGTAACTGTGGCTCTTCTTCATCACAAATGCTAAAGTTGTTTGAATACTCAAATTCGCTGAGTGCCTTTTATTCCTTCCTTTAGAAGTATAGATGAAGCTCTATTAAAAGTTACATCAGTTAAATGTCTATTCTCTTCATCACAGTTTTAACTTTATCAGCAAAGATTGCAAGGAATTTGGGGTCTTCTTCTGCCTGCTTCTTCCACTTAGAAAAAAAACTACTTCCAGGGCATTGAGTTCATTATACATTGAACAAAAGATTAAATGTAAATTTTATTAATCCTCTAGACAGGGGTCTCTAGTATGGAAAGCACTAATACATAAAAAGAAAAAAAAGGAACAAATACCCCCTTTAAAAATTATTTATGCTTATTATCTCCCAAAATGCCATTATCATTATAATGAATTAAGAGGAGGAAAAAATTAGGTAAATACAATAGATGTTCACAAAAATTGAAGAACTATAAAATGTATCCACTTTTTTTTAGAAAATATGGCAACTTCATTTTAACCTCCAAAACAGGACCTAATCCCAAGAATTAGTAAACAAATAATCATAAAAAAAAAAAAACAGAGAACTAATCCTTTTTGAAAATTTACCTACTAATTACATTTCAATATGCATAACTTTGGCACAGGGGTCCATACTCCTGTGCCAAAGTTATGCTTATCGAGTTCGTTTTGTATTTTATTTTATAAAATGTATCCAGTTTCATTTTTTAAAAGAAAAAGTTAATATATTTTTAATTTAATCCCCAACTCCTGAGAATTAAAAAAATATATCCAGCCATGAATATAAATGAAATGAATAAACATTAAAAGGAAAACTGGAGACTTTTTTTTTTTAAATTTTGTTTTAATTTTTATCAATAAATATGAATGTGAAATTTAAAGAACTAAGAATATACCCAGTTTATTTTTCTGTTTAATGTTTTTAAGA